GGCTCACCATGTCTTTGTATATATAACAATTTGAAGATTTGGCCAGTAAAAGTGTACAGAGAAGAAATCTACGAATCTTAGAATAGTCAATAGTTTTCATTATATGAACCAAACATAAGTATAACATTGGCCAAGACAAATTTAAAACCACTGCACACCGATGAGCTGGGGTCTGTGACTTCAGAGACTCAAAGCACTGCTGGGCACTGTGGCCTTAACAATCAACCAAGTCACTATCCGAGTATTTGCCCATTAGCTACTGCAGGCCAGGCCCAGTGTGTGTCAGGCATTGGACGGTGGCCCCTGGGGACCATGTCGGTCTGGTACCCTCTCCCTGGGCATGTATTTATAAAGGGAGATGCTCTGGATTCATTTCTTCCAGTCAAGTTAAAACGCGGACTACACAGATTCCTACTGAATCAATGAATCAATAGTATGTTCTAGAAACTCCCAATGGGAGATAACCCCCAACAAAGCGAGAGGGGATAAGCTTGGTGAAGGTAAACCCAGGACTTTCGATGTTAACCCTGTGTCTGTCTCACAGGGGGTGGACTAGTTTCAAATCAGGAAAAGAGCTGTCAGATCTTGCAGAAAGGGAGCAGTAAGCCGGTCCCCGGGCTGTCTGGGACACTGAATGTGGGAACGTTCAGTTATGCACTCTCTTCCATAGCTAAGTCCTGAAGCCATCTGCTTGTCATGTGCCTCTCACATGCACTCACAATTCCAAGCTGACTGTGACAAGGCATCCAACACTCCCTACACAGTGTGAGGAGCATATGGGCTTCTGACAGTAACATACTAGAAACGGAGCTGGGCATTTCCCCCCAATGGCCAGCAGCAGTGTGTCTGGACAGAAAACTAACTGGTGCCTCAGCTGCCATCGGAGACGAGGCCCCTGCTTAGCGTTGAAGGCAGTGAAACCCAAGTGCTCAGCTCTGCAGAGGCTACTGCCGAAAGCAAGCGCAGTCCGTGGCTGCAGAGCAGGCTCTGAGGAAGACGATGCCTGACGTTGTCGACTCCACCCAACCCCTCCCCACTGTATCACACTGCACCTTATAGATATTAATAAATGTTGTGTTAATGGCTGACGTGTCTCAGGTTTCTGAGCATCTCTCTGTGAAAGGACACTGGGCATCTCCGAGATGACATCGGGCATCCCAGAGAGTCAGCTGCATCGTCTTCTGTAGATAGGAGACACTAAAGGCTACTGAGAAAAGCTAAGGGAGAAACAGTTTCACCTTGTTTGGAAACAAGGCAATACGAGGGAGCTTCTAGGTCTCCGGAAGGGGAATCATCTACAAACTTGCAAGCACTCTTAATGACTAGGAGACTTTTTTCTCCCTTGGACACAGTATGTGAGATCACATTGCTATTGTCAAGCTGACAGGCTTCTGCTTAGGCAAAAATATTATGAACTGAAAAAATTAAGGATTTACTCAAAATTTTAGGTCAATGTCAAAGGACTTTGTCTTAAGATGGGATGTGAGAATTAAGAACAAGCACTCTGTTGCCTAGCATATGGCAGTTAATGTCCTCAAGTGCTCCTCTCTCTCTCTCTCTCTCTCTCTCTCTCTCTCTCTCTCTCTCTCTCTCATGCACATGGACCACCTAGCTGAGGGGACAGAGCTTCCCCAGCAAGCTCCAGGCCCTGGGTTCAATCTCCAGCACCACAAAAGAGCAGAAAGAAAACAGAGGGGCAGCCTGCACTCACTCTATCATTAGAGTCAGTCCTTCTCCTTCTAATACTGCATTAAGTTCTGGAAAGGTGACTCAGGAGTTAGTGGTACTGCTGGGCAAATCTGGCAACCCCAGTTCAATTCCCGGAGCTCACATAAAGGTGAAAGGGGAGAATCCACTCCATAGGGCTGTCCTCTGACCTCCACAAGTGCACCATGGCATGCATGCCCCCCAAATAATAATAAATAATAACAATAATAATACTGTAAGTTGTCTGGAGTGGTACTTCAGAGCTTTTTGGAGTACCCTCACCCCCTGCCATTATAACCCAGGACATGGAAACCCTTACACATACACCCGGCTGAAACACAATTTCACAAAAAGTATGGGGTACATTGTGTTCTTTCTGTGAACTAAAAGGTCAGGCATAGCTCAGTTCCAGACCACAACTTTAATGGGTCACAACCACAGTTTGAAAACTGCTAGCTTAAAGCAACCATTCTCCTTTCCAGAGATGAAGAGGCCCAATTATGATTCTGCACTATGACTGTAGTGTTTACAAAGGCATGGTTCATTCTCGAATAAATAGGACAAGGGGACATCCTGTGATACAGGCACCATCTGTTCCAAAGCTTAGTGAGTTCCCTGATCCATGAGTGATGCAAAATGAACAAAATGATGAGATGCCCCAAGCATCTGCTGCGGCCTCCAGGACAGGTCCAGCTCATTTCTGCTGTGGAAATCCTGGAGACTCAGGCCTACTTCCTCTTCCTTGAGAATTCTCACACTTTAGATCTTAAGATCATCCCCTCCCTGACTCTCACAGTCTATAAAGTCTCTAATTCTTGGCCTCAGAGTTCTATTTCATTATCATTTCTATGAAATGCATAAAAATAGCTGAGCCAGGAAAAGGTTATAAACCTAGGGACTTTAAATATCAATTTCTGGAAATGATCTTCTCACCTATCATCTACCTAAAACACACAAAAAATTTACCAGCATGAGGTAAATACCACTGCTGCCACAATGCAGCCTATACACAGAGTTTGTAATTCCCATTTTTGGTGAGCCAACTTTTAGAAGGCAACCCTGTGCCTTTTAAATGTTTGAGGGGTTAGGACAGTTGAGACTGCCCCTCTTGGGTGTGCACTTGACTACAAAGAGCAAAATAGAAATGATATAATCACTTTGGATGCTTATATGATGGACTTCCTGTTTTCTGAATGGCTGGAGAGAGGACTCACAGGCCCAAAGCACAGGGAGATTCTTGTCATATTGGTTAAAATAATAATAGTGGTCCATCAAACAACAGCAAAAAGGTGTCTTTGACTGTACTTTTCACAAATTAAGTTTTTTCTGTTTCCATTTTCATCTGTATATGTGTGGTGTGCACATGAGTGTGCATGTTTTTTGGATGTGTGTGGGCATACCTGGAGGGGTACTGTATTCACATGTGTGTGGGCATACGTGTAAAGTTCCAAGGTTGTTGTTGAAGATCATACTCTGTAGTAGGACAGGCCCATAGGGTCAAGGAAATTGGCTCAGACCAGTTGCCAAGGCATGCACATAACATACTTCCTTATGAGCCACCCTGGGGTCTGCCTGAGGGCCTAGCAACAGGAGCTGTCAGAATTCCTGATTGATGTCAGATTCTTGATCATGTCAAGCCAATGAGGGATGACCACACAGACTGGGCACTGGGAGGAGGGTATATAAGGCCTTCCCTGTTATTGATTAAATGAGTTCATTATTTGCCTTCAGTGGACTCCCAGTGTCTGTGTTGTTGATGCTGCGCTTTCTCACCCCCTCCTCTGAGGGAGCTGTTAGAATCCAAGTAACAATATTCTATCACTGCTGCATCTTAGTTATGGATATAAGGTCTCTCAGTCAACCCAGAGCTCATGGATATAGGTAGTCTTGCTAACTGGCTTATTCTGGGGGATACCTTGTCTTTACCTCCTGAAGCTGGACTTATTGCAAGTGGGCCATCAAACTCATCTGGCATCTGTGTGTGTTCTGGGGAATCAAACTCCATCCTCACACTTGCACTGTGAACACTTTAACCACTGAGCCATCTCACCAGCCCACAAAAGTTGTTAGGTATAGCTGAAGTTATCTCCAGTCTCGCCCAGGCCAGCAGCCACTCAGACTCAAATAAACACACAGACACTTTATATTATTTAAACTGTTTGGCCTAATGGCTCAGGCTTCTTGCTATCTAGTTCTTATATCTTAAATTAACCCATTTCTATAAATCTATATCTTGCCACATGGCTCGTGGCTTACGTGTTACTTCTCATCTTGGCAGCTGGCAGCATCTCCTGACTCAGGCTTCCACTTCCCAGAATTCTCCTCTCTCTTTGTCCCGCCTATACTTCCTGCCTGGCTACTGGCCAATCAGCACTTTATTTATTAACCCATCAGAGCAACACATTCAGAGCATACAGAACATCCCACAGCAGTTAGGAGCAATCATGACAGTACAGGGAGTGAGATTGAAGCCCAAATGAACTGTGAGACCTATGTGTGCTCCATCTCAAAAGCACTAGTGGTAGTTTCTTTCACCACCATTAAAATGAATGACATAATCCCCTTCCCAAACCTGTCCTCTGCTCCCTTGGAGGAACCTCCTTTTGCCATTGCACGTGAAACTTATTCTACATTTCAGCTGGAGCTGGAGGTATGGGGATGGGACACCCGGCAAGCACACTGACTCCACTGACATTCCCTCAAGCTTTGGAGGACCTCTGCTAGATGACTGCTGGAATCTCACTGAAACATTGGTCCCACTTTGCAACTGACATAGTGACCATGACATTTTACACCCTGGCTATTAAAACAAGAAATGAGGTCACACACTGCCTGAAGCCAGACGGGTTTGCCTCATCCAATCGCATATTATAGGACCAAATTTGGGGGTCTTCTGATGGGATATGAATGTTTGTGATGTGGGGAGGAGGTATTTCCCAAATTACTTCCTCCTCCTACCCCATTGCACCACACGGGCTAAATTTACACAGGCAGCAGCTAAACACTGGTGTCCGTTTTATTACACAAACAAGCAAAACCTCACCCTGTCCCAGCTGCGCTTTTCTCCCAGCCTTAATGAAGGGTTGGGTCCTCTCTGCTGGGAACTCTATTTGATTTAAGGAACTGATTCGCTTGGTCCAAGTGTTTGAGGATGTGAACGTAGAAAGGCAATTTATGCAGAAACAGACTTCATTGTGATTTTCACATTTCACATTTTCCTGTCATAGGAAAAACAATGTGTATAGTCTGGCCCAAGGACACAAAAGCAAAAGATAGATGTTAGATTCTCTTACCCACAAGCCTTAGCCAAAACACTTTCTTCTCCGAAGCAGGTGAGAGGAATATTCTTGTTCCTTCTTCTTCTATGTGAGGTGAAAAGGCAGGACTTTGAGAGCCAGGGGATACCAACTGCATCCAGCAGTTTCCTGTGGAAATGAATAGGATAATCTATGACACTCACAAAAATAGAACACCTGCCTTAAAAAATGTCCAGACAATGGTGTGGGTTTTAGAATGGGCCAGTCTTTCCGGACACTATAGGCGTTCCAGGAAGGCTATGAAGAGAGAGCAAATGAGATGGAAATGCGGTGCTACCAGACTGTCATGCAACATTTCCCTGACTGAAAAAGAGAGATGGGGTTTAAGACTGCTTGAAAATGTGCACGACACTTGGACCTCTGGGGCAAATCTGAGCGGGCAGAGAGCACCCCATGCCATCCTCAAAGGCAGTAACAGGAAGTAGAAGCATCTATCCCTGATGGTGCACTAACACATCCACTTATTAATCATTTACTGTCTACCCTCATATGAGTCAGCGTTCAAGCAGGAGACAGCATTCACATCAATAATGTGAACAGGGAGATGTTAATGGCTAAGAGAGGTAAAGAGATCCCAAGGAATACTGGAAAGGCAGGTGCAAGGAGCAGCTACTATTCCCAGGGCTGAAGAGAGGAAGGAACTCAAGGAAGGAATAAACTTGAAACTGGTGTCCTCTCAAGGAAGAGATGTGGGCTGTACCGAGAAGATGTGTCTGGAGCCCACGGGATGGTGTTTTAGGAAGCTTCCGATCTGAGTGCTGGCGAAGCTCTGTCGATGCCGTTTTCTGGACAGTAATAACTTACCAAAGACTCTGCACCACCGGCCAGGTCTCTGTGGGCACTGCACCCAGCAAGAAGGGAAGTCCCAGAACCCAAAAGAAAAGCCCTTCTCTTAGTGTCCCTCCAGCGCCCTCTACTGGCAAACTTCACAACCCTGGTGGAGGAGAACCGTTTGCAGAGTCCTGCTCCGGCATCACCATGAAAGAAAGAGCAGAATAGAGGTGGGGGGGTGAGGTGAGGGGGTGGGGATGGGGGTGAGGATGGGGGGGTGGGGGTGTTAAGAGCAGATAGGTAATAAATGGACAAGGCATACTCATAGCTTACGCACTGTGCTAGACCTACAGTGTTTGAAGATTAAAAAAAAAATAGTATGGTCCTTCCTCTTAGAAAACATGGTACTGGAGAAAATCTCTATGAAAGTGATGTCATTTTTAAGTTCCTTCAAACTGAAGAATGTTACTGGCAGGTGGGCACAATGGTGCACACCAGTGGTCCCAGCACTAGAGGGTGCTGAGGCAGGAGGATTATGAGCTCAAGACTACATAGTGAGACCATGTTTTTAAATAAATAAACAAACAAAAAAATAAATAAATAAACGGCAAAAGTTATTATCTCTCTAATCCCTCTGATCATCTCAGAAGAGCCACTGGTGTGTTCTGTCTTCAGTTAGTTGTCACCTAATTTAAATAACCTTGGGGTTGGAGAGATGGCTCAGCTGTTAAGAGCACTTGTCACTTTTGCAGAGGACCCAGGTTCGATTCCCAGCACCCACACGGTAGCTAACAACTGCCTGTAACTCTAGTTCCAGCAGATCCAATGTCCCCTACTGAAATATACTATGGTGATTTGAATGAGAACGGCCTCAGAAGCTCATGTGTTTGACTATTGTGGTAGTTTGAATGCAATTGGCCCCCTTCATCCCAAAGGGAGTGGCACTATTAGGAGGTGTGGCTTTGTTGGAGTAGGTGTGGTCTTGTTGGAGGAAGCATGTCTCTGTGGGGGCAGGCTTTGAGGTCTCTTTTGCTCAAGCTTCACTCAATATGACAGACAATCCATTTCCTGTTACCTTCTCATCAAAATGTAGTCAGCAACATGTCTGCCTGCACACTGCATCCAACCATGATGATAATGGACTGAACCTCTGAACCATAAGCAAGCCACCTCAAATCAATGTTTTCCTTTATAAATTGCTGTGGTCATGGTGTCTCTTCATAGCAATAGAAACCCTAACTAAGACAACTATGTGGTTCAAAAGTGGTGGAACTACTTGGGAACAAATAGGAGGTATGTCCTTGTTGGAGAAAGTGTGTCACTGGGGCCAGGCTTTTAAGGTTTCAGAAGACTTGAGTCATTCCCAATGTGCTTTCCCTGCCTCCTGGTTGTGGATCAAGATGTGAGCTCTCAGCTGTTGCTCTAATGCCATGCCTGCCTGCCTGCTGCCATGCTCCCTGCCATGATGGTTGTGGTGGTTTGAATAGGAATAGGCCCCATAGACTCCTGTGGTTGAATGGTTGACCCTTAGGGAGTGGCACTATTAAGAGGTGCGGCCTTGTTGGAGGAAGTGTGTCACTGTGGAAGCAGGCTTTGAGGTGTGATATGCTCAAGCTAGGCCTAGTGTGGCACAGTCTCCTTCTGCTGCCTGAGGACTAAGATGTAGAACTCTTAGCTCCTTCTCCAGCACCGTGTCTGCCAGTATGCTGCCATATTTCTCACCATGATGATAAGGGACTAAACCTCTGAAACTGTAAGCCAGTCCCAATTAAATGTTTTTTCTTGTAAGTGTTGTCATGGTCATGGCTTCTCTTCACAGCAATAGAAACCCTAACTAAGACAATGGCCATGGATTCCTATGCCCCTGGAACCATAAGCCCCATATAAACTTTCCCTCTATAAGTTGCCTTGGTCATGGTGTCTTATCACAGTGAACGAAAAGTGACTAATACACATGCATTCAGGCAAAACACTCATTACACAAAATCAAAATATAAATAAATCTAAAAATTTTAAATCAATCTAGATCAAGAAGACTTTTTTTGAAATCAGACTGCCAGACATGAAATCTTGGCTCCTCCATTAACTGACTTTGTAACTTTGGGAAAGTTACTTATACTTAATCCACAGTACACTCAATCTGAGGTTACTCTTAATCCATGGGTGCTTCCAGTACCTTCTCAATAAAAGGCAAATGAAAACCGATCAACCTCACAAGGTGATGGGAGGATTACAAGATGGAGGATACAGGCACTTTGAAATAGTGTGTCTGTCTAGCACACCACAGGGATTGAACAGACATCAGATTTTTACTCTTTTTTACAACAAATCTGGCTATGGATGGCATGAAATAAAGTAAGGCTACAAGGGACCATTCAGCTTCTTTGTCCAGTGACCTTGTCGATAAACTTCATGAATCCACAGTTGAAAATGTTGAGCTGCAAACAATCTATGTGGAAAAAGACACGAGAATCTCAGTTGACCTCAAGCTTACGAAGGCCTAAGCCACGCTACTTCCCGTTGCAGTCTGACCAGTTAGTCCACATGTGGGTAATTCAAGATATCTCACTCTAGACGCTGCATAGTAAGTGGAGTTTTTCAATTTAAAAGACTCAGGGGAGAATGGGCTGGAAACGTAGCCTGGTGATAGAATATTTGACTGTCCCAGTCAAGGTCCTGGGTTCAAGCCTTAGTACCACAAAATGAGATGAAATGAAATAATGAGAGGAAATACTGCCCGAGAGTGGAGAAACTGGCTTTTTAAATAAAGTTTACTGAATTATAACAGATAACTAACTGCAGGAGGACCCGGAAAAAAAAAAAACATTAAAAAAAGAAAAACAGGCAAATAAATTAGGTTTGTTTAGTCAAGAAAGGCTATAAAAGGAAATACAGTTATATTCAGATAGCTCAAGTACCATTTAGTTTCTCTGATCTAGTATTTTAAATGAGAATTAGCAAGGATGTGTCTTTGATTTAATATAAAGTTTGCTTTAAAAAACAAACAAAAACCCAACTGTTTTGAGACAGGGTCTTACTGTGTAGCCCAGGCTGCCCTCTAACAGCTATGTATAGCTCAGACTGGTTGTGAACTTGCAGTAACACTCTTGCTTCAGCCTCCCAAGTGTTGGCATCACTGGCATGTGCCACCATGTCTGGCTTGGCTTAGCTTTTGTTTAATATAAAGAAAAAACTTTGATAACAGTGAAGACATTCTAAACCCAGGGAAGACACACCCACAGAGAGTGATGGACATCTGCCACTCCAAGAGACCCTCTCACAATGACAGACGTAGGCAAACTCTGTGCTGTGTTCCCAGCCCTGTCAGGAGTCACCCTCTGGCTGTTGGGAGCATCACACACAAACAGCCCAGAGATGACCCTTAAAAGAAGATCCATCCCCAAGGTCACACCTTTACAGACAGCTCTGAAAGATCATTCTGGTTTCAGAACTCTGTGGACATTAGCTCAACTTGCCCTGCACCCTACTTGTTACTTTCTCTTCCTCACCGGCCCAGAGAATTCTTACGTTGCTACACACTTACCTTCATCTCAGAGCTGGCCCCTCCGGGACCCAGTGTGTAGCAATACCTGTCCCCAACCAGGTCAGGCCAGAAGTACCTATAGGCCTGTGACTCTCCGAGACTTTTGGAATCTGAAGGCACAGGCTCTGCTTACCAGGTTCCACCTGCCTCCTCTGCGTGTAGTCCATATGGATGAGCTGCAGGAAAACCCTCAGCCTTCCAACTCCCTGGCCTGTCACCAGTTTGACATCATTCCAGGAGGGAGGATACTTGTGAGGTTGGTCATTCAATCACTTGTGCAGCCTTTCAATATTTTTTTAAAAAACAGTCTCTTGTTATATGGTCCAGACTAGTCTTCCACTCCCACTTTCTTTAACCCCTCAAGTGCTGGGATCACAGACATACAATACCATACTTCTTTTATTATTTTGTTTTGGTTTTTTGTTTTTGTTTGTTTGCTGTTTGTTTTTTGAGACCGGGTTTCTCTGTGTAGCCTTGGTTGTCCTGGAACTTGCTCTGTAGACCAGACTGGCCTTGAACTCAGAGATCTTCCTGCCTCTGTCTTCCAAGTGCTGGGATTAAAGGAATGCACCCCCACTGCCCGGAGTCAACACCATACTTCTCAATAACTGTTAGTTATATATCAAGCCTGGAGATGACAGTGGAGCCCAATGAAGTTCTTTGCTGGAACTTATTGGTGAGTGCCTCATTCCCCAAATCTTGCCCAATTTCATACTGCTTCTCAAAGGCTTGTTCGACACATTACCCCATTATCTGAGGATGGAACTTGTAACTCAGGCAACTTATTTATTTA